GCGCTGGTCGGCTGCTTTGCGCTGACGGAGCCCGGCGCGGGGTCGGACGTGATGTCCATGACAACGCGGGCGCGGCGAGTTGAGGGCGGCTACAGCCTTCACGGGTGCAAGGCGTGGATCGCCGCCGCCCCGCTCGCCGACGTTGCCATTGTGTGGGCGAAGCTCGACGACACGAACGAAGTTGGCGGTTTTGTCGTGGAGCGCGGCTTCAAGGGCTTCGCGACGCCGCGCATCGACGGCAAACTGTCCTTCCGCACCAACAGCACTGGCATGGTCGAGCTCGACAACTGCGTCGTGCCGGATGAAAACGTGCTGTCGCTCGCCAATAGCGTGAAAGCGCCGTTGAATTGTATTGCTGGCGCACGGTACGGTGCCGCGTGGGGCGTGCTTGGCGCAGCAAGGACGTGCTTCACCATTGCGCGTGACTACAGCATGGAGCGCAAGCAGTTCGGGAAGCCCCTCGCCTCGACACAGCTCGTCCAGACAAAGTTGGCCGATGCAATGACGGAGCTGACGCTGGCGCTGCAGGCCTGCCTGCGTGCGGGGCGGCTGAAGGATGAGGGGAAGCTCTCGCACCAGGTGATATCGATGCTGACGCGCAACAACACCAGGAAGGCAATCGAAATTGCGCGGGCGGCGAGGGACATCTTGGGCGCCAACGGCATCTTGGATGAGTACCACGTGATGCGACACGCGTGCAATCTGGAGACAGTCATGACCTGCGAGGGCACGTACGACGTGCATGGACTCATCTTGGGCCGTGCCATCACCGGGATGAGTGCCTTCTGAAGACAGGATATCTATCGCCGTTTATCGGTGTTTTCTTCTTGTCTTACCACTGTGTTTCCCCCCTCCCTGTTTGTTCTGTCTTTTTTTTTTCTGTTAGTTTCCTTTTTTATCTTTTCTGCTATGCGTTTGCCTGCAGAAATCTGCTCTGTGCTCCGCTGCTGTGTCGCTGCCTCCCTGTGCGGGGCCCAACACCTTTTTTTTCTTCGCTGTTTCGTTGGCTGCTTGATTTTATTCCCCCGCGTACTGGTGCCAGACTGCTTTCCAAGCGGGATTAATACTTCAGCCCCCCGCCCCCCTTTCTTTTTTGGGGGCCGAAAGCAAAAACAAAAAAAAAGGAGCGTCGGAACGACGAGCACGTGGGGCACATTGCGCCTGGTCCGCCTTTCCGGGAACACGGCCCCTGCTGCTCCCTGGGAGGTGGAATGAGTGGGGCCCAGCCGGTGCTTGTCATCGATAACGGCGGCTACACGCTCAAGGCGCTGTACATTCCTGATGTCTCCAACACAACGGCGCTGCCGCCGCGGCAAGTTGTTGTGCCGAACTGCGTCGGCGCCGCGTCGTTTGCTGGACGTGGCATTGTCGGCGAGCAGCTCTTTAAGCTGCCGCACTTTCATGGCTTCATGCTGCGTCGGCCCGTGGATCGTGGCTTTGTCGTCGACGCAGCGCTGCAGAGCTACATTTGGGAGTACCTGCTGCAGTACTTCGCCATCGCAGATGAAAGCGATGTGGAACTCGTCCTTACGGTCCCGTTCGCGGCGCCGAAGCAGGTGGGGGAGCTGCTGCATTATTTGGTGGCGCAGCGGTTTACGTTCCGCGCCGTGACGCTCGTGAGTGCGACGTTCCTCGCGCTTGTGGCGGCCGCCTCTCGGGAATGTCTCCACGGCTGCACGAGTAGTGGGCACAACGAGAAGGTTAGTGCCAGAAGAAGCAGCAGCAGCAGCAACAACAACAACTGTGACAGCAATAGCGGCATTGACGGTGGATGTGGAATTGTGGTAGACTTCGGATTCTCCGCCACAACGGTGGTGCCGTACATCGACTTCCTCCCGGTGCGGGAAGCCGCTGTGCGTATTGATGTTGGTGGTAAACTCCTGGCGAATCGTCTCAAGGAACACATCTCATTTACGCAGGTAAACATGGCGGAGGACGGCTGGCTCGTCAATCACATTATGGAGCGCTGCTGCCACGTCGCGCTCGACCCGCTCACGTCTCTGCGCACTGCACAGCGGCAGAAGCGGCGCAGCAGCAAGAGCAGCAGTGCAGAACTGCGGTACTACTTGCCGACAGTGCCGCCCCTCATGCCGCTGGGCTGCCGCGAGGAGGAGCTGCACGCTGCTCTCGCCAGCACAGCGAGTGGCGATGCATTGGGACAGGAGCGGCACCTGCTGCAGCACCTCGTGTTCCGCCACGAGGCGTTTGTAATTCCGGAGCTGCTCTTCCACCCTGTGGATGTTGGTATTCAGCAGATGGGCGTTGTGGAGGCAATTGTGTGCGGCAGCGGCAGCAAGGGGCCGCTGCGTCACGCCCCAACGTTGCACGAAGCGCTGCAACGCCACATCGTCGCGTTCGGTGGAACCGCCAAGTTCCCACAGTTGCGTGACCGACTCAATAGCGACCTGCGGAAGGAGCTGGCCCGCACGTCGGAACTGGCGGCGGCAGCAGCAGCGGCGACATCAACATTATCATCATCATCTTCAGTGCCAGCAACAGCAGCAGAAGCAGAAGCGAATGAGACAATTACAGAACCGTTGCAGCAGCTGGTGGAGAGGAGCCGCATGGCACCAGGAGCCATTGACACAAACCAGAATGCCATCGGGTATTCGCCTCACGACAGCGAGCTGCAGCCGCTCTACGGCGCCCTCGCACTTCTGACGTCTCCGCTCCGTCAATCGCAGCTCCACCTCGTACAGAGCCGAAGCCGTGTCGACCTCACAGGCTTGCGCACGATGAAGACAGGAATGCGGCGCATGCAAGGGATAACAGCACAGAAAACACAGAAGGCTCTTCAGGACGCGCTGCACTGCCTCCTCTGAGCCCCTCCACATTGCCAAC